AATTCAAACAATCCAATCTGACTTTAAAACCTGACCTGAGAGACTACAGCAGCGTTTAAAACCAAAATGCTCCCTGAAATGATTGAAGATTAAATCTGTTCTTCAGCACATCTCTGCTGCGATGTTTTCACAAGTGTTTGTCTACAACATAGTGACAATATGAAGATTTACTCAGAACTCTCCTGCTAGTTTTTCTGTTAAATCTACCCAGCCAGAGAAGACAATGTCCTAGATCTTCTTTTCTTTTCCATACCAGCAGGAGAGCTATTCCTGACAGCTACTGAAGAGGTTAGTGAAGGGTTTGCCTTGGATGGCAGTTGCTATTTGTTTCAATAGGCACGAGTGGGCATGTCCCTCTTCCCTTACGTGGTCTGAAGCCATAGAAGAAAAGTCGATTTAATATCTGGAAAACAAATCACGGCTAAATTCAGTCCACTGTAGAGCAACAGTGCAGTGGATAAAGGAAAGCCAACAGGCTCTCCTGGCTTAGTGTGTGCCTCAGGGCACCCCTGGGATGGTCCCTGCACAGTGTGCAGAGGGGCTGAGCTGCCCTGCTTACATATCAGCTTCTGGACCAGCCCGTCTGTGGGGATTCTTTTGAATTTCAGCTTTCCTTATTCCCAAGGGTAATGGCAGGTGGGTGAGGCATCACTGTGATTATACTGAAGCATTTTCCATGGTAGAAGAGAGCAAAGAACTGCTGCATTTTAGTAAGGCCAGGATGAAGACCTGGCTGAAATGTTTTGCTGTAATGTTCCTTGCAGAGCACCACTCATACCTCAGGACTCCCTCTATCCTCCCTCTCATAGGGTCCTTGCAGCCTCTGCAGGGCTCTTGCACCTCTCTTCTCTCAGATCTGTCCTGAGGAGTCTCCACTTTGCTGTGTCCCTCTGTGGCAGGGCAGTAAAACAGTTTGTACCACTTCACTTTCTCATTTAACAGTGCCAGAGCTGCTCACTTATGGCAAAAGGAGATTTTATTTTTTCCCCTGTGATGCCAATGTGGTGCTGTCCTCCACATCCCATGAAATGTAGGCATGTCCCCTTTGAGACAACAGTAGAGTTACTGCTGGCCACCTGCTCCCGAGGTTGCATCCTGCAAAATGGGCCCCTGAGGCACCTGATGGAAAGCTTTTGCCACAGCTCTCACTCTTCCTGTGATCCAGCAGAGGCCAAATCCTATTTTCAGATTCTGTCTAAGGCATCTCTGGCTGTTCAGATCCTTAGGTTTGAACGACACTTCACCTGAAGACAGATGGGCAGGAGGGTTTTGGCCTATCCTGCTTTAAAAATGTTGGTTTTGATTGTGGCCGTCCTCAGGAACAGAACTGCTGACCACCATGACAAATATATTTGGTTTTAAGTGTGTTCGTAATTGCAGCGTTGCGTCATCTCCACAGTTATTTTAAAAATTCTCTCTGTGACTCTACATTATTAATAAGGTGTCTGTGGAATGCTCTAGAAAAAGCGTCCCTGTGTGGATCTGGACTGCACCTCCATCGTTCCCTCTGTGACCAGAGCAGAGCAAACTGATGGCACTTTGTCACTTCTCTTCGTGCTCTGCTGGCACCAGCTGGCACGGTGAGACATCCGCAGTGTGTCAGGAGGGAGAATCTCTCTTTGGAAGGGCAAACCAGATAAAATGACCCAGGAACTGGAGAGAGTGCTGGGCACTGGTTGGAAGCTCACTGTGATAGGCAGGAAACTCAAGCCTGTGAGCACAAATATGCTCTAGGATGAATTTAAGTACATCTACAAATAAACTCTACAAATTAACTCTACAAATAACTATCACTTCATTGGAAGGTGGATTATATGCGAATTTTAAAAAATACACACTAAAGGTTAGAACAGGGAAATACTGTTTGATGCTTTCCTTCTAGAGAATTCCAAGTGTTTCAATAAGGTTAATATCCCTGTTGCCATTTTAAAGGTAGGAAAACAGAAACACAGGAGTGCCATGGTCCCTCAGATACACAACAGCCAGGCCAGGAGGAGAATCCCCCTGAGTGGCAATATGAGAATTTAAGTAATTGCAGTACATTTGCATAACAGTCATAAAATAGATTACCTGGCAAGGATAAAAGGAAAGAAACCTTAATTTGAAGATGTGGCTTGGTGTGCCATCAAAGCCACGGGTTGGGAAATAGATCACAAGAATCTCTGGTACCTGAAGGAACTTACTTGCGTGGACTGACACACACAAAGCCTGTTTCCATTGGAGTTACTCAGGCACATCCTCCCAGACTGCTGTGAGCCTCTGCAGGCTGCACCCTCCCGGCAGGGCCAGGACAGCCACAGCCCTGTCACCCTGAAGTCACCTCCTCCAGCCACAGCCCTGTCACCCTGAAGCCATCTCCTCGTCCCAGAGCAGCCCAGCAGTGCCACTGCAGAGGCACAGGAAGCCTCGCAGAGACAGAGGGATGAGCTCATGTGTGGCTCACAGACTTTATTGCAAGTGGCAAGACAAAGATGCCCTGCACTCCCCAGGAAATAACTTCAGTATGCAAATGCCTGAAAGGTACAGTGTAAAATCCCAGGGAAGGGACTGCTGTGTTCAGGGCTGTTGTAATAGTATTGTGGAACACACCATGTCAAAGGCGACTTAAAAAAGCAACGAGGGTACATTATCCTCACCTAATGGTAACCTGGGCTATTCTGGTGCTCTGTCACCTTGAAATGCTTCCTACAGGGGTTTATGGTCCTTCATGTCACACATCTGTCTTTCTTATTCAGACTAAGGCCCTCAGGCCCTCTCCTGTTTGTGGGCACCAAATTTGGTTTATGGCTTTATGGCACATAGGTTGTACCCTTTTTAATCAAAGCAAAATATTGTTTCCCTGGATGGTAACCTGGAACACACCCTGGCAAAGATCCTTGGGAAAGAGCAAAAGATGCCTTTTCCTCATAGCCATAGAAAGATGAACTGTGTCAGATATTCAGAGTTCCTATACCCGCTGATAGGGAAGAAGCAGAAGAACAAGGAGACCACCTGAGCAGGAACAGTTACATTAAAATATTTCAAGGTATTTGAGAGCCTCAGTAGTTTTATCCTTGACACTGCAGGAATGTCTGTGCAAAAGAAAAATTCACCACTGGATTTCAACCCTCTGTGATTTTTACCAAAGTTTACTTTAAAATTAGCATATATAACCTGTTTAAATGTGAGGGGTTCGTTATTCTTTAAATGAATTTTATGGAGTTTTGTAATTTGGATGTCATTCAACTCTTAACTGTGTACTGAAACCAAGGAAGAATTTGTCCTATCCATCTTAGCCTTGTAATGGATAGATAGAACATATTAAGAGTTATCACCTCAAAGACAGATCAAAGCCTACTTCCTTTGATATTGACTTTCTTTAAAAGGACCTAAATATAACCCACTAGCTAAATAATTCAATTTTCGGAGGGAGGGAAGGAACTGAGAGCATGTTTACACAACAGACCGCAACAACTCCACAATTTTCTAATTTCTGGGAGAAGAAAAAAAATCCTTCTCACATTTTCTGTTTAAGGAAATGTTACTCTTGGAGCAAATGAGCCCAAACCTGTCAGCCATCCAAATGGGCTTCTCACAGACAGAAGTGGCAAACACTTGCCTGTATTGCTGACAGGAAGAGATCAGCTCAAGAAAGAGAAACAATGAGCTAATCTGAATAAATGCTCAATTTTCAGATATTTCCCAGTGTTGTGCAGGAGACTTTTTACCTTCTCTACTTGAGCCATTCTCATTATCAAAGGTGTTGAAAGGCGGGGCTTTCCAACCGACTGGTGGTGTTCTCTTTCTGTTCTTTCCTTAAATATCTAAGTTTTGGGAACATCTATCAGTGTGCACTGATGTGATCAAACAAACACTCAGTGTTCTCAGGGGTTCCAGAGCAGAGTGGTAAGGCTGCACCTCTCTATTTCACGGGAATGCCAGGAATGAGGGACAGATCGTGGCATGGCACTCAGCAGTGCCTGGGGCCAGCCCATCCACAGGGTGCCCCCACAGCTGCTCAGGGATCTCCTGGCTCCTGTTCTCTGTGCTGCCTCATGAAACATCCATGTTTTCTATCATGCTAAGCATTGCTTGATGGGGTTTCTGGGTTTTTGCAATTTCATTCTACAAGGGGAAGAGACTGGAAACCACAGATCCTTCTGGATGTGGAATGCGGCACTGTTGAGTGATAAGCTTTCAGTGGTGGCTCTAAAAAAGACCAGCCTGTATTTGGAAAACACATTCCTTGGTCTTTGCATTTTAAGTGCTGTGGAATCAAAAAAACCCACTGAGTAAATTTCATTACTGTGTTTTGCAGAGTGGGGACACGAGAGTTTTGACCTCAGCCCCATTTCTTCAGGTATTTACATTTGTGATTATTAATGCTGCTTTAGTTCAGAATTTGGATATATTTTGCACTGCTGCAATAATTGAAAACATGGAAAATGGAAGTGGGATCTTCTGTCAGTTGATTCTAACAGCGTTTGTGAGGGCCCTGATATCTCAAAGCAGAACACAGCCACTCTTCCTCGTGGCACGGAGGTACAATTGCTGTAGGAGAATGATTTTGTGCTGTGGGAATCCCTCACAGTGAGAGTGGTCCACTAGGCACAAACATCAGGGCAGTATCCCCTACTACACCCCAGAAGTGCAATTCCAGCTCTGCACTCTGGCTCTCACCGCTGCCTTCAACAAGAATCAGTCGCTAAGTACATGAATCAGACTGCTGTCCTGTGCACACAAAGGGGGAGCGTTTCGGAGAGGATTTCTGAGAGCAGAGCAGTGAAATACTGTGGTGGGAGCTGGCACACACGGAGGTGCAGCTCAGGCAGGTGCTCTGCCGGGAGGCAGCACGTTGGCAGCGGCAGCAGCAGCACCCGGGGGCACACACTCACAGTGCCCGTCCTGCCCCGGCTCTCACGGAATGGGGACCTGCCCGTCCCCGAGCCCAGTAGCCGCGCCCGTGGCACCCCCGGGTGCCCCCTGTGCCCGGGACCGGCGGCAGAGCCGAGAGCACGTACCCACTTTGAGCTCCTTGCCGAAGACCGTCCGCTCGCCCAGGGCCGAGCAGTTCCAGCGCCCGTTGCGGAACTGGAACTGGCACTCGTTGATGCCCATCTGGGACCCTTCCCCGATGACAATGATCGCGTCGGGCCTGCTCTGGCAGATCGCCCGCTGCCGGGGGGCGAGCCCCGGGATCTTGTTACAGATGATGCTGGCTCCCAGGGCCACCACAGAGGAGAAACCCCTGCAACGACAAGACACCGGCGGTGGCTGAGGGGAGGCTGGTCCCGCAGGCAGAGCAACCCCGCCGCCTTCCCGTGCTGAGGCTCTGGCGCTGGCAGGTGCCCGGGAAGCGCCCGCCTTTCCCCCGCCGCTTCCCTCTCCCCGTCCCTCTCTCCAAGCCGAGGCAGAGATAAGCACCGCGTGGGCTCCTGCCAAAGCGGGACCAAACTTCCTCCTCGGAGAATTAAAGCGCGTGCAGCGGCATTACCTGCCCGGGCCACGCACAGGCAGCGGGCTGGGAGGGTTTTCTCAAACCTGTCGAGCAGTTAGAGGGGAGAGGGAGGGAGGGAAGGAAGGGGGATAACCCACCCTCCCTGCCCCGGGGCCGTGCCGCCTCCTCCCGCACCCAGCGCACCTGGCCGGGGATGCTGCGAGTCCGGAGCGCCGCTGCCCTCCCTGCGCCCCTCCCGGGCCGGGCGGCGTTGTGTCCCGGGCGGCAGCGGCCTGCGGGAGGCGCGGGCAGGTACCGGGCAGGGAGAGACCGGGTGTCCCCGCACGGGGCCCGCTGGCCGGGCTGGGGAGGGGCCGGCTGCCCGGGAATCGCCGGGTGTCCCTTCCCGGCAGAAACCGTCGCCCAGACCCTCGCAGCCCCGCACATCGCCGGGGCCGCCGCCTCGCCCCGAGGTGCGGGCGCTTTACCTGTGTTTTGAGAAATAATCGTGATCTCCACTATCATCGCTTGTTTTGGGGTTTTTTTTGGTTTTTTTGTTTTGTTTTTTTTAGACTTCCCGAGTTAAATAGTAACAGGTCTGGGCAGGTTGGGCTGAGCGCGCGAGAGAGCA